GGCCCCAGTGGCAGGGTTCGCATGCGGTTCCACCCCCAATTTCGGCACACCCCTCACACGTTTCGTGGCCTCATGGGGAGCTCCACCGGAGGCCCCAGTGGCAGGGTCCGCATGCGGTTCCACCCCCAATTTCGGCACACCTTTCACACGCTTCGTGGCCCCATAGGGAGCTCCACCGAAGGCCCCGGTGGCAGGGTCCGCACGCGGTTCCACCCCTCTTTTCGGTATACCCTTCACGAGTTTCTTCGTGACCCCATAGGGAGCTCCAGGCTCGCATGCGGACCCCCCCTCCATTTCGGAACACATTTCACACGTTTCGTTGCCACGTAAGGGAGCTCCACCGAAGGCCCCAGTGGCAGGGTTCGCATGCGGTTCCACCCCCATTCGTGGCACACCCTTCACACGTTTCGCGGCTTCATGGGGAGCTCCACCAGAGGCCCCAGTGGCAGGGTCCGCATGCGGTTCCACCCCCAATTTCGGCACACCCCTCACACGCTTCGTGGCCCCATAGGGAGGTCCACCGAAGGCCCCAGTGGCAGGGATCGCATGCGGTTCGCGGCTCCAAAGGGAGCTCCACCGAAGGCTTCCCTCACACATTTCGAGGCCTCATAGAGAGGTCCACCGATGGCTCCAGGGGCAGGGTTCTCATGCGGTTCCAATTTCATTCCAGCACGCCCCTCACACGTTTCGTGGCCCCACAGGGAGCTCCACCAGAGGCCCCAGTTGCCCCAGTTGCAGGGTTCGCACGCGGTGCCACCGCTATTTCGGCGTATCTCTCACACACGCTTCGTGGCCCCATAGGGAGCTTCACCGAAGACGATACTAGCTGCGGCACCCACAACTGCATATGATTGAGACCTTTGCCAGTCTAAGGTTTGATGTCCTTGTGTCGGTGGTGAAAGTGCTTGATTGATGGTGGTGGCAATGGAGGTGATTGTCGATTTCGATGACGCTATGCGGCGGCGCTGAAAATAATGATGGTGAGGAGGTGCTCGCGCAGGCATTCAAGAGACCTGACAAGCTTCTGTTGAACAACATGTGGTATTCCTACTCCCTTGTACGTCTCAAGTCAGCAGCGCTTCGGGGTACCAAAGGGGTTTGGACGGAGTTGGCACGCGCGCGTGGCGGCTCGCGCGTGCGGCCCCCCAGGTACTCTTTGACACGGGTTCGTGCGCTGGGCGCACGCTGGACCAACGCGGATGCAGAGCGTGGTGAGGCGAGAGTGCGGGTTCTGGACGAAAACAACACGAAGAGTCTGTGGGGAAAACACGCACAGAACGCAGAGTCTGTGGGGGAAACATACGCACAGGGTCTGTGGGAGCAAAAACACACGGAGTCTGTGTTGCTTTGCTTGCGTTTTTTTTGTTGTTCTGGACGAGATCGCCAAATTCCTATTGGCTCATGGTTTCGGCAATCGCGCGAGGGCAGAACAGCTGCAGCGCTGGCGGCGGGAACCCAACACTTGTGTTTTTGAGCATGGTTTCGACATGTGCGCGCGCGTGTGGACTTTGCGCTGTTGTTTGCAATGGGTCATTGGAACATGCATTTTGAGGTAAACAGGTGTGCGCGCATAGTATCACTAGACACGGTTGGGGTGGGTGGGCGATATTGGTTGGGTTGGGATGGTATGAGTTCATTTGGAAAGTGCACGATGACGCCGCATCATATGCAATGTGCGGTATACCAGGGGGGTTCGTTAGCCCCGAGGGAGCGGGGAGGGGTAGTAGAGCCCATGTTCGTTTTGACAGGTGGATTTTGTGATGCTAGCTATGATCGGAGAGGTATGCGGCGCAACCGATGTGGTGCAGTCTGATCTGGTGTGAACTGCCAGGCGCAAGCTGCGCTGTGCAGTCTACGTGGTGTGAGCCGTGCAGTGTGCGCACGGTGCGCCGGCGAGCTTCCCACGGGCGGCACCGTGGCGAAACCTCGGCGGACCCACGCGGCGCCCACGGGCGGAAGCGTGGCGAAACCGTGACGGCAGGGCTGGACCTCAACGCTGTTTCGCTGCACGGCGGCTGTGCGCCGTTTCCCGTTTTGGCTGGGGCGCACGGGGAAGAGGCGGGGCAAGACGAACAACCAGAACGCAACCAGAACGAGAAGCAGCGCCCGAGTCTAGGTCCCCGGCAACCGCTCGGACGTGTGCACTCTTTTCCTCCGGCGAGGGCCATCGAGGAGCATCCTCGATGACTTGGCGAAAGAGCCACGCACGACACCGAACGAAAACGCAGGGAATGGACGTCCGAGCGATGGCCAGGCCCCGCTCGACGGGCCCGCGATGGCGCCCACGGGCGGCAGCCCGGCGAGGCCCCGCGGGGCCCGCCCCGCGCACGGGGCGGTCCACGAGGCGCCCGCGGGCGGCAGCGCGGTGAGGCCTCGGCGGAGCCACCCGCGGGACACGGGGCGCCCAGGAGGCGCGGGAGGGAGGAGGAGGAGGAGGAGGAGGAGGAGGAGGAGGAGGAGGAGGAGGAGGAGGAGGAGGAGGACAGCGCGATGCAGACGGCGCAGCTCCGCCCCGCCGAGCCGCGCGGCCGTGCCACGGGCGGCAAGCTGGCGGAGCCCCTGCGGATCGTTAGTGTAAGTCGGGCACGTCCCTCTTGAGGGAGAAGACTCAAGGATAGCCCCAAAATAGTCAGGGCACGATCTTTGGATTATTCTTTCAACATTTGGGGGTATCTTTCGACTACTTGTACATTTTTGCATCCAAAATCCACCTGTAGGGTGACACGCCCGATCTAACGTTAGTAAGGCAAGTACAGTGGAGACCCATGGCAAGAAACACCCTGCTCGCCTCCAGGGTGCCCTGGGCTTCTTGGGTTGCGAAGGATGTTCGATGGAGAGCGCGACGTTCCCACACCAAAAGTCCATGGACGTCCTGGGGTCTCAGGGTCGAGTTTGTTGTGAAAAGATTCTTGTGGACTGACCCCTACTGTAGGACCCCGTAAGTGCCAGCACTGTTTGGGAGCACGAAGTGCCGTAAAGAGACCAAGCCACCAGCTCTGCAATAGACTCAGAATTGAGCGATGTCCACAGCGTATAGCGATAGCCTCTAGACAGCACCTCCACAACCGAAGAGTAAGTGAGACCCCCCGTTCAGTGATGGGAGATTGCAGCGCTGTGAATGAAAGCTCTGGGACTGGGGCCCAACCGAATCATGAAGAGCAACTGGCATCCGATGTCGAGACAAGTGCTGGGATACATGAGGAGCGCCGTGGATAACTACTACCAGGCTACCAAGCAACGGTCAGAAAATTAATACATTCCCCGTGCAGCTGTTGGAGATTACCGCCCTGAAGCTGATGTTGCCTGCAAAGCCCAACCGTAACAGGAAGATGCACCCAACAACATTTTGCTTGACTGGTTGGGTAGCTACCACAAGCCTCCTACTGGTACTTTGCCGTGTCTGCCAAGCCCCGGTGTATGGGGGAACGAACAAAATGACATAAACATAATAATTCGGAGGTCCGCGCGGATTTCTCAGATCGGCGCTGGGGGCCGCTGGCGGTGCCTCTGGCGCCGCCCCTGGCGCGCTCCGCGCACTAGGGAAGGGGGCCCAGGGGTCCAGCGCGGATCCAAGACATCCGCGCGGACTTCCGAGTCATTATGTTGATGCAATAGTTCGTTCCCCCAAGGTGCCAAACCGCAACAGGACAAATCGCACAAGTCGCGTCGATCTTACCCAGCCATTCGAGAGCGTCAAGCGGACACCTCGTTCCGGGTGCCGCAGGCACGGCACATTGAGCCGCCGAGGCGCGACGTCGAATCTGGCCAGAGGCAGAAGAAATGTCCGTGGGCCCGCCTCGAGCCGCACGTGCTTGGGAGGAGCAGGATTAGGAGGAGTAAGAGTACGAGGAGGAGGAGGAGGAGGAGGAGGAGGAGGAGGAGGGCTTGGAGGAGAGCGAGGAGGAGGATGACGACGACGCCACTATCGTCTTCGAGTTCTATCTTTTCATCTTGCTCAGAGGGGGCCGAGCGTGGGCGTCAACAGACTTGCCTTCGGACTGCAGGAGGAGGAGCAGGAGGAGGAGGAGCAGGAGGAGGAGGAGCAGGAGGAGGAGAGCGACGAGATTCCCCACTCCCCTCTTCCCTGTCCTGCTCCTCCTCTTCCTTCCTCTCCCTTCGGATCAAACTCCTCTCGCCTCTGCTTCCCTCTCCCCCCTCTCCCCCTCAACCCTTCGCCTCATCGTTCATCCTCGTCGTCGTCGTCGTCCCCACCGCCGCCGCCGCCGACTCCTCCGTTCTCGTCCTCGTCGCCGTCGTCGTCGTCGTCGTCGTCCTAGAGCTCCTGTCGTCCTCGCCGAGGCCATGCATGTGGGGCAGGGCGCCACGCGCCCACCCGCGCCGTCCTGGGCGCCCGCGCTGGCAGGCACCGCCGGAGGTCCGGGCCCGTTGGGTGTGGGTGAGTGGGAGGAGGAGGAGGAGGAGGAGGAGGAGGAGGAGGAGGAGGAGGAGGAGGAGGAGGAGGAGGAGGAGGAGGAGGAGGAGGAGGAGGAGGGGAGGAGGAGGAGGAGGAGGAGGAGGAGGAGGAGGAGGAGGAGGAGGAGGAGGAGGATCCCTCTGCGCCTGGCTCCAGCGGGGGCCCGACGTCGGCCCCACAGGGCGACACTCGAAGGCACCCGCCCGCATTGGCGGAGAGCGCACGCCGGAGAGCCGGGCCCCGCGTCGCCCCGCGTCGCCCCGCGTAGGAAGGAGGAGGAAGGTGGAGATGATGATGATGATGATGATGATGATGATGATGATGATGATGATGATGATGATGATGATGATGATGATGATGATGATGATGATGATGATGATGATGATGATGATGATGATGATGATGATGATGATGATGATGATGATGATGATGATGATGATGATGATGATGATGATGATGATGATGATGATGATGATGATGATGATGATGATGATGATGATGGTCGTGTCTCACTTGTCATCTCATTAGCGATTGAGTGCCGCGAGGGTTTATCCTCCGAAACCGTATGGCTCAGTTCTCTCGCGAGGTCTCCAGATGCTGAGCCCCCGCGCGCTGGCCGGGCTGGGCATCGCGCATTTCGCCGGGGCGTTCCTGGGCCATTTCGCGGCGCAGCCCGCCCCCCTGGTGCCGGAGGAGGCGCCTGGGACCAGCCCCGCGGAGGCGGGGGTGGACAGCGGCGCCGCGGCGTCGCGGGACCTCCAGCAGGTGCTCGGCACGCTGCAGGAGGCGCTGGGCGACTGCCTGGCTTCGCGGGCGCCTGTGTGCCCGAGCCCCTGCCCCGAGTGCCGCTGCGACTGCGGGACCGGGGCTTCGGCGTCGCCAGGCTGGTGGCGCGCGGCCCTTGAGCTCGTGGTGGGGGCCGCCGTGCTCCTCGCCGTCGAGTTCTTCCGCGGGCTGCTGGGCTGGGCCCGCCGGGCCATCTCCTGCGCGAGCCGTTCGTCGGGCCTGCCTGCGTCGAGGCCAGGCTTGGCGGCCCCAGGCTCGCCTGACCCGCGTGTGCCGAGGGGAGGCGGCCAGTATCGATGAATGTTGGGGACGAGATTTGGGTTGAGTACGATGTCGATCCTCCCCTTCTTCATGCTCGGCTTCTTCTGGTGGGCTCGTATCGCACCCCGGGCGCCTTCTCTGTGCTCACTCCCGACATGGACGTGTATGTCGAGGAGTACACGCCCGCGAACACCGACCTGCGGGGATACTACCTCAAGCAGCCTCGAGGTGTCGGAGCCCTGGCGGTGGCAGCGCCTGGGGGACGAGGGCACTATGACTTCGCCCACCTCCCGACCGCGCCGCAGATGGTCGGGGTGCTCCAGGAGGCGCAGGTGGCCATGGCGTGTTTCGAGGGCGGCGGCGCAGGAGGCGGGGGTGCAGGCGGCGGGGCTGCTGGAGGGCTGCTGGGTGGGGGCGCGGCCGCGGGCCTGCCCGCCGCCCTGGGCGGTGGCGGAGCCGCCGCCGGCGCAGCACCCCTTGCCCTGCAGGGGCCCGGCGGGGCCGGCGCCGCGGGCGCCCTTGGCGCGGCAGCCGGCGCGGGCGGCGCCGCGGGCGTGGCCCCTGCCGGCGCCTTGGTCGCCGCGGGCGAAGGGGCCCCTGCCGCTGCCGCGCCTGCCCCCGCCGCGGGCGGCTTGGCTGGCCTCGCCGCCGCGCTGTGGGGACCCCCTGGTGCAGTCGAAGGCGATGGCGCTGGAGCTGCTGTGGGGGGCGAGCGAGGCGGGGACGATCTACGGACCCTTGCTGTGCGGTATGATCGACAGGGGTTGCGATATCGAGAGTTTCGGGAAGCTGTTCAGAGCAACCGATCCACCAGCTTTCCTGACTGGCCCGTCCCAGGGCCGCGTACCTTCCAGTGCGTGGCGGAGTACCAGATGGAGCACGGGGGCACCCCCATGGGCCACCACGTGGCGTGGAAGGCGTCGCTGGGGGCCTCCGTCGGGCCCGATGACCCCGTGGTGCACCTGCACGCGGAGTTTAGCAAGCTCATGCAGACCATGTGCACCTACGACCAGCTGGACGGCGCCAACCTCGCATGCGGCGAGCTGGTGGCCCGCCAACTCCAGCTGTGCGAGGAGAAGTACAAGGGCAAGATATCGTCACAGCGGGGGGGAGGCGGGCTCCAGCAGGACGAAGGGTACTTCTTCACCGACATGGGCTCGACGAGAGGCCCCATGGTCAGTCCAGAGCTCACCAAGTGGGTGGCGGAGCGCCTGCAGGCCGAGAGCAGCATCGCGAAGGAGCGCCGCAAGGCGCGTGAGGAGCGGCAGCTTGCCGCGCCCAGCGGCGGAGGCGGAGCCGGCAGCGGGGGCGGTGGCCCCGGCGGCGGCGGCGGCAAGAAGGGGAAGACGTGACGAGAACGGGGCGTCCCTTCGCCCCGCTGGTGAGGGAGCTCAGCCGACCCTCACTGGCTCCTCCAGGCTTGGGCATCGCGCTCCTGTGGTCTCATGGGCCCCAGTCGTCAGCGAGATGCGTTCCCCCTTCCTCTTTTTCGTGATCTGCCTGTCCGACAACCGGCTTGCCGTGCTGTGGGGCGCCGTCGGGATAGACTGGTGCATTCACTGCAGTGGGCTAACCTCGGCATCGGATCGCTCAACGAGTTGGCAGGACGCAGCGGCAGCCGCCCACGTCGTGCCTCAGTTTTGCAGCACATGGCGCTCGAGCACATCCGGGAGCAGTACACCACTTTCCCGGGGCCGCCTGAGGACGTGCGCCCCCGCGGGAGCCTTCGCGAGCTCTGCGGCGCCTGCCCCATGTACGGTATGGAGCGGGCGGATTTGGCATCCTACAGCGAGGACAGAATTTCCTGGCCTGCAGAGGGGGCGGCTCCTGTGTCCCTCGAGTCCGCCCTCCAGCCGGCCGACGCGGCGCGGCTGTCGGATTGGGAGGCCAACGTGCTTCGAAGCCCGGAGGAGGCTGCTCAGCTTCGCGCTGAATTGGGACTACGTGCTCCTTACTCTGATCCTGGGCTGCGAGACCCCAAGGTGTACGGACGGTTTCTTGAGCAGCTGCACCGTCGTGGCATGCTCCAGTTTTGCAAGTGGGATGGCAAGGCCCCGGCTTCGGGTGCCTTCACGGTTCGCAAGAAGGGGGGCCGCCAGAGGCTCATCTTCGACACCAGGCTGGTCAACCTGCACTTTCGACAGGCGCCTGCTACCGAGCTGCCGTCGGCCGCATCCTTCTCTCGTTTGGAGAGTGAGGCCACCACCCCGCTGTACTTCGCCTGCGGGGACATCGAGAACGCTTTCTACGCGATGCGGATCCCAGCAGGCTTGTGTTCCTTCTTCAAGCTCGGGCGGGTCCGCGCGGGCATGGTGGGGATCACTTCTCTGGACGGCGCAGCGGTGGATTGTGGCGAGTGGCTCACCCCTCAGCTCACCATCCTGCCCATGGGTTGGAGCTGGGCCATGCACCTGTGTCAGATGGTCACGGAGTCCGCCCTGGCGCGGGCGGGTGTGCCAGTCTCACGGCACGTCCGAGATCGCAGCGAGGGGCTGGTGCTGGGGGAGCAGGACGGCCTGGGTGCCGCCGCCTACGTGGACAACTTTTTGGTGCTCGGCGCCAGCCAGTCGGAGGTCGACGCCACCGCGGCGCGTGTGGAGTCGGAGCTGGTCAACCTCGGCTTCTCAGTGCACGAGCAGCAGCGGGCCAGCAAGAGGTGCTCGTTCGTGGGGCTGGAGCTGCGCGGGGCGTCGCACTGCGCCCGCGTGTGCCCGAAGCGCCTTTGGCGAGTGCGCTATGCGATCGACGAGCTGCTGGCCCGGGGGTCCGGGCGGGGGGAGATCGTGGAGGTCCTCCTCGGGCACTGCACCTGGATCATGCTGCTGCGCTGGCCGTCGCTCGCCATCTTCGACGCGAGCTACCGCTTCTGCCAGGCTGCGCGGGACGAGGCCCTCCCCCTGTGGGCCTCGGTGCGCTGGGAGCTCCGCGCGCTGCGGAACTTGCTGCCGTTGCTCTCCGCGCACCTGGCAGCCCCGTGGCATGCGGAGGTCTCCGCCTCCGATGCCTCGCCGTGGGGCGGCGGAGTCTGCGTCCGACAGGCTAGCTGCAGCGCCGCCGCCTCGCTGGGGCGGACCGTGGAGCGCTGGCGGCACCACTTCGACGAGGCCATCACCGCCCGCGCGCACGCGCTCGAGGGCGAGGGGGTGGCCACCATGCTGCGGCGGCCCGCGGCGCTGCCGAGCGAGGCGGCGAAGGACCTGGACAAGCAGTTCGGCGAGGCGCCGGCGTCCTTCATGCAGGACCCCAGCTGGAAGATTGCAATGTCCTTCCCGTGGCGGGACAAGCACGACATCTACTACACAGAGGGGCTGGCCGTATCCACCTCGCTGCGGCGCGCGCTGCGATCGCGGGGCGCCTTCGGGCACCGCCTGGTGCTTCTGGTGGACAACCTGTCTCTGGCTCTGGCTGCCGGCAAGGGCCGAGGTTCGGCGGCGCAGCTCCGCAGCGTGCTGCGCGAGCTCTGCGCGCTGGCGCTGGCCTGCCGCCTGCAGCTGCACGCGCGGTGGGTCCCGAGCGAGCTCAAACCTGCCGACCGCCCGTCCCGCGGCTACCTGTACATCGACACGCAGAAGCGGGAGGCGGCCGCGGAGCTCGGGCCTGCTGCAGCTCGTGATGCCAGCCCTGGCCCCCCCGACGGTGATGGGGGGGAAGAGAGGGCGCACGCCGACACTGGGGGCTGTTGCCGCGCTGGATCGGCCCCTAGCCCTGCCCGGCGCGGGGATCGCGCTGGGGGCTGCCGCGGGGTCGGCCGCTGCGGCGCGTTGCCGGGAGGCGACGAAGGTGGCGCTGGAGCCGGGGTTGACCTATCTGGAGCAAAGGTCGATCTCGAAGCCCGTGCTGGCCGACTACCGCAGGCGGGCGCAGGCCTTCGTGACTTGGGCCTCCGAGAACCACCTGGACTGGAAGGGGCTCGGCGGAGCTCGACTCCGTGCTCGTGGAATACTTCAACCTGCTCTACTTCCAAGGGCACAGCGGGGACGATGCGTCCAAGCTGCTGGCCGCGGTGAAGTTCTTTGTGGCGAACCTGAGCCGGTGGGGGACGGAGAGCCTCCCTCGCTGCTCCCGGGCCCTGGCAGGCTGGGGCCAGTGCGCCCCGCGGCGCTCGCGCCAGCCCCTCCCGTGGCTGGTGGTGGCCGCGTTGGCCGGCGTGCTCCTGCGGTGGCAGCTGGTGGAGCACGTCGTGGCGATGATCCTGAGCTTCAGCACCTACATGAGGCCCGGGGAGGCGGACTCCCTCGTCGGGCTGCAGGTCGTCGAGGGCGTCGCGGAGGGCAGCGGCAACGGCGGCGTCGTGGCGCTGGTGCTCTTCCCGGAGGAGATGGGGGTGCCCAGCAAGACGGGCATGTGGGACATGACAGTGCCTCTGGACACTTTCCGCTTCCTCGGCCCGTCGCTCCTCGCCTTGAAGAGGCGATGCCGGACGCTGAAGGACCGACTGTGGAGGTGCCCCCCAGGCGACCTCGGACAGAAGATGCGCGCGGCCGCGGAGGAGCTCGGCCTTGCCCTGGCCTCTCCATATCAGCTGCGGCACGGCGGGGCCTCCGACGACCTCGTGGCGCGCCGGCGGACCGCCCTGGAGATCCAGGCGCGAGGGGGCTGGGCGAGCCCGCAGTCGTTCCTGCGGTACGCCAAGCCCGGGCGGATCCTGGCGGAGATGGCGAAGCTTCCCGCCGGGGTCCTGGACTTCGGCCGGGCGGTCGACGCGGCGCTGGCCGAGATCTTCCTGAGGGGGGCAGCCGTCCCGCCTCCGCCTGCACGGTCTGCCGCAGGCTCTTGCAATACTTAAAACGATGCATGAGGGCCCCGAGGCACGTAGTGAAAGCTCGCACTGTTTTCCTGGAACTCTTTGCTGGATCCGGTGGTCTTTCCGCTCGGATATCGTCTCTCGGCCAGGCCGTGCCCCCCTGGACTTTGACCAGGGTCGCCGGCCCTGGCATGATCTTGGCCGCCCCGAGGTCCAGCAGATGGTCCTGGGGTGGCTCAAATCTCGAGTTGTGCGAGCCGTCTGGTTGGGAACCCCGTGTGCCTCCTGGAGCCGGGCGCGGCGCGGCCCCCCCGGGACCTCCTGGTGTTCTCTCAGGTCCGCGGCCTTTCCTCTCGGGCTCCAGGGGCTCTCGGGTAGATCCCTCCAGGCCGTCCGCTCGGGAAACGCCCAGATGCGTTTTACAGTTAAGGTCATTCACTTGTGTCGCCGCCTGTCCACCCCAGTGTATTTAGAGAACCCTGGGGCTTCGTTTCTCTGGGCGGCGCCGGCTGCGGCCGCTCTGCTCTCCAAACCCGATTGCAAGACGTATATGCTCGGCATGTGTTCTTTCGGGGCCCCGTGGCGAAAACGCACCCGGGTGACCTGTTGGGCCCCTCACCATCCCCCTTCCTCGCCCCCTTGTCTCTGCCGTGGGCGGGGGGGGATGTGTACTTTCTCGTGCAAGCGTCGCATCGTCTTGACCGGCATTGACCAGTCCACTGGCATGCTCTGGACTCGACGGGCCGAGCCATATTGTAAGAAATCTTGTCAGTTTTTTGCCAGGATCATTCAATGTCAGGTAGATTGGATCGGTTTCAGCAGGATGTCAATATTAGTTAATGAAGTTTGAGTGTTCGGCCCCGGGCGCGGTGCGTGCCCTCATGGTCCGCCCCGGGGGCCACGCTGCCGTTCGGGAGTCGGGCGTCTCTCAGCGCGCTGAAATGTTTTCCTTTCGTTCAGGCCCGGGTGCCACTGCGCCCCGGCCCCTGACCTGGCTGCCCAGGCCCCCGGCCCACACAGCAAAAAGTGGAACGCTGCAGGGTGTGGCACGGGATAGCGTTGAGATGGTCGTGTCTCACTTGTCATCTCATTAGCGATTGAGTGCCGCGAGGGTTTATCCTCCGAAACCGTCTGGCTCAGTTCTCTCGCCCCTTCCCTCCCTCCCCGTTCGCTCCCTCGCCGTGTTTCGTCTCTCAGCGCGCTGAAATGTTTTCCTTTCGTTCAGGCCCGGGTGCCACTGCGTCCCGGCCCCTGGCCTGGCTGCCCAGGCCCCCGGCCCACGCAGCAAAAACTGGAACGCTGCAGGGTGCGGCGCGGGATAGCGTTGAGATGATGATGATGACAGTGGTGGTGATGATGGTGGTGATGATGATGATGATGATGACGATGACGGTGATGATGATGATGATTGTGATGATGATGGTGATGGCGACAATGATGATGATGGTCATGGTCATGGCGATGGTGATTGCGATGAGAATGGTAATGATGATGATGGTGATGGTGATGATGATGATGAAGATGATGGTGGTGGTGATGGTGGTGATGGTGATGGTGGTGATGACGATGACAATGACGATGACGATGACGACGCTCACAAAACGCATGATGATGATTATGATGATGGTGATGATGATGGTGATGGTGATGGTGATGGTGATGGTGACCATGGCGATGATGGTGATGGTGATGGTGAGCTGATGATGGTGATGTTGATGATGCTGATGATAGCGACCACGACGATGATGCTGATGATGACGATATTGATGATATTGATGATGATGCTGATGATGATGGTCATGATGGTGATGATGATTATGATGGTGGTGATGGTGATGAGGATGGTGGTCATAATGAAGATGGTGATGGTAAGTGACGATGCAGATGCTGCTGTTGCTGCTGCTGATGATGGTGATGATGATGATGATGATGATGGTAGCGACGGCGATGGCACGAATGCTAGTTAATGATGGCAGTGTTGACGACCATGATGACGGTTATGTTGATCATGTTGTTGTTTGTGTTGACGATGATGTATGTGATGATGATGTCGATGATGATGTTGATGATGATGATGTTGATGTTGATGATGACGATGATGAATATTATGATGATGGTGGTGATGATGATGGTGATGATGATGATGATGCTGATGATGATGCTGATGATGATGATGATGATGATAATGTTGATGATGATGATGATGATGATGATGATGCTGCATATGCTGATGCTGCTGCTGATGATGATGATGATGATGGTGGTGGTGGTGGTGATGATGATGATTATGATGATGATGATGATGATGATGCTGGGGAGGAGGAGCAGGAGGAGGAGGAGGATGAGGTGATCCGTAGCCATTTTTGCCCCAGGCGCTACCTCCCCTATGAGGAGGGGGACGCCCATCGCGGCGCCCGGCAGCCGCTCGCGCAGTGAGCTGCGGCCGCGGCACCCGCGCCCTGCGCCGCGCGCCGGCCAACTGGCCTGGGCGGGAGCGGCGGGGGCCCCTGGGCCCCAAGGCCCGCCCAGGCGAGGCCCCGCGCCCGCGTCAGCGACAGCGCCAGCACAGCTGCGGAGGGCTGCCCACCATCCAGGCGGCCCCGCACCTCCTTGCGGACACGGGAGGCCGCCGCTCCAGGTTCGAAGGAAAAACGACATACAAACGTGGACTTTTGGCGCTCCGCGCAGATGTTTTGGGTCTGCGCTGGGCCCCTCCGGCGGCGCCCCCGGCGCCGTCTTTGGCGCGCTCCGCGCGCCAGGGACGGGGGGTCCAGCAGTTTATGTTTATGTTGTTCTTCTATCCTTAAGTCGGACACGTCCCTCTCTACAGGAGGAATATTCAACATTAGCCTGACTCAGGACCCAACCATATGCAGCTGCGAGTGCCGCATTGTGGGTACCGATTTCGGTGGAGCTCCCTATGGGGCCACGAAACGTACGAGGGGTGCGCCGAAATCGGTGGCGTGGACGCAGGTGGACAACGCCACTGGGGCCTTCGGTGGACCTCCCTATGGGGCCACGAAGCGTTGTCCTGGGTGGGGGAGACGCAGGCGAAGTGCGCCATTGGGACCTTCGCAGGACCTCTTTATGGGGCTACGAAGCGCTGTCATGTCATGGGTGGGGGAGACGCATGCGAAGTGCGCCACGGCCGCCTTTGGTGGAGCTAGCTCCCCATGGGGCCACGAAACGCTGCCCTGGGTGGGGTAGACGCATGCGAACGGCGCCTCTGGGACCTTCGGTGGAGCTCCCTATGGGGCCACGAAACCATTGGGCTGGGGGGGGGGAACGCATGCGAACGGTGCCTCTAGGGCCTTCGGTGGAACTCCCTATGGGGCCACGAAGCGTTGTCATGGGTGGGGGAGACGCATGCGAACGGTGCCCCTGGGGCCTTCGGTTGGGCTCCTTCTGGGGCCACGAAGCGCTGTCCTGGGTGAGGGAGACGCATGCGAACGGTGCCATTGGGGCCTTCGGTGGAGCTCCCCGTATGGGGCCACGAAGCGCTGTCCTGGGTGGCGTTGACGCATGCGGACCCTGCCACTGGGGCCTTCGGTGGAGCTCCCCGTATGGGGCCACGGAGCGCTATCATGGGAGGCGGTGACGAATGCGGTCCCTGCCACTGGAGCCTTCGGTGGAGCTGGTGGCGGTGACGCATGCGGTCCCTGCCGCTGGGGCCTTCGGTGGAGCTCCTTGTGGTGCCACGAACCGTGTGAGAGGGTATGCCTACATGGGTGGCGTTGACGCGCGCGGACCCTGCCACTGGGGGCCTTCGGTGGAGCTCCCTGTAGGGCCACGCAGCGCTGTCCTGGGTAGCGTTGACGCATGTGGACCCTGCCACTGGAGCCTTCGGTGGAGCTCCCCGTATGGGGCCACGAAATGCTGTCCTCGGTGGCGTTGACGCATGCGGACCCTGCCACTGGAGCCTTCGGTGTAGCTCCCTATGGGGCCACAAAGTGCTGTCCTGGGTGGCGTTGGCGCATGCGGACCCTGCCACTGGAGCCTTCGGTGGAGCTCCCTATGGGGCCACGAAGCGCTGTCCTGGGTGGCGTTGACGCACGCGGACCCTGCCGCTGGGGCCTTAGGTGGAACTCCCTATGGGGCCACGAAGCGCTGTCCTGGGTGGCGTTGGCGCATGCGGACCCTGCCACTGGAGCCGAGCTCCCTACGGGGCCACGAAACGCTGTCCTCGGTGGCGTTGACTCATGCGGACCCTGCCACTGGATCCTTCGGTGAAGCTCCCTATGGGGCCACGAAGGCGTTGCCCTGGGAGGCGTTGACGCATTTGGACCCTGCCACTGGAGCCTTCGGTGGAGTGATGATGATGCCATCGATGGGAGGAGGGAGGAGGAGGAGAGGAGAGGAGAGGAGAGGAGAGGAGAGGAGAGGAGAGGAGAGGAGAGGAGAGGAGAGGAGAGGAGAGGAGAGGAGAGGAGAGGAGAGGAGAGGAGGAGGAGGAGGAGGAGGAGGAGGAGGAGGAGGAGGAGGAGGAGGAGGAGGAGACGCGGGGCGCCGCTTCTTCAAAACGAATACCCGACACCACAGGATGGCTGGGAAATGATCAAAGAATAGTCAGGGGACGATATTCCAATATGTTTGATTATTTGCGGAAGTATTTGCGGAATAGTCTGGGGACGATTGTTCTGGTTATTTGTGTTTTTCATGTTTCGTCCACAATCTGCTTGCAGGAGGACACGCCCGACCTAATGGTATCCTTGCGAGCGCAGGAGATTGCTGCTCTGGGTGCCTCCGGCCCGACGCGCCGCGGTGCGCCGACGCTTGGCCGCGGCCGAGATGCGGCAGTGCGGGGGCGGCGTGGCAGCAGCAGGGAGCGTCGCAGCACCACCAGCACGGCCGTCGGCACCAGCAGCCGCCCAGCGCAAGAAGTCCTCCTCCCCTTCTCCCTCCTTCCTCCTCCTCCTCCTGCTCCTGCTCCTGCTCCTGCTCTTCCTCCTCCTCCTGATCCTCCTCCTCCTCCTCCTCCTCCTCCGCCT